CGTTGGGCTCTGTGCTGACAGCTCAGAGCCTGGAGCCTGCTTCAGATTCTGTCTCCCTCTCCCTCTGCACGTCCTCCATCTGCACTCTGTCTCTAGAAATGAATAAATGTAAAAAAAGATTTTTTAAAGAAAAAAAATGAAAGGAGGTATCATAGGAAGATGAATTAAAGACATACCTCTGAACATGATTTATTATAGAGACTAGGAGTAAAACATCCTTAGTTGCATGAGAGACAGCAAAGCTTCTAGGAAATGAAAGTTGTGTAAGGAATAAATAGTCCAAGATGAGAGAACTGTAACATAGAGTAAGGGGGAGAGGGTCATTAATGACACAGGGAAGGATTGAAAGGGTACCGAGAATGCAATAGGAAAATTAAAATCATCTTTGGAAGTGAGTCGGGCACAACTGGAGTGGAGGACGATGAGTTAGGGCCATGAGAACAAGCCTGCGTTGCCACAGAATGAAAATGAAGTGGAGAGGGGCGCCTGGGTGGCTTAGTCGGCTAAGCGTCCGACTTTCGCTTAGGTCATGATCTCGCGGTTCATGGGTTCGGGCCCCGCGTCGGGCTCTGTGCCGACTGCCAGCTCAGAGCCTGGAGCCTGTTTCAGTCTGTGACTCCCTCTCTCTCTGACCCTTCCCTGCTCACGCTGTCTCTCTCTCTCTCTCCTAGAAATAAAAAAGAAAGAAAGAAAGAAAATAAAGTGGATAGACGTGAAAAGATGTCAAGAAAAACAACTGAGATTGTCACGCAGGTGAGCTGGGTTTTGGAAAAAAGGTGGGAAAAAAATACTTGATGAAGGAGATTACATAGCTGTATGTGGCGATTAAAAGTCCAGGCAAACATGAAGTAAAAGATCCAAAGAGCCACATCCCGACACATATTTTGAATTATAAGGATGAAAAATATAAATCCTTCCCAGGTCAAAAGACAAGCCACCTACAAAACGAAGGGAAAGCAGTAAGGTTCACATGCCTCTGCACCTGTGGACAATGGGAGATAAGGAGAAACCACTATATTGTATGAAGACACGATCATTTGAGATCTAGCTCTTCATAGGCAGTCAGACTATATTGTCGGCAAAGTAAAGGTATGTTCAGAAGTGGCAGTAACTTCGAAGATGTATCATTCTTGCCCTTTTTGGGAAAAAACATTGCTTGACAATATAATCAAACTGACTCATAATGAAGCAGAATCGAGAGCTCAGGAATGGGGAAGCAGTGGTTCAGGAACTCTTCGGGGGAAGCACCAAAATGCCTGCATGTCGCATTAAATCATTTTATATTTTACTTTTAAAGTATCGTTTAAAGTTTACTTATTTATTCTGAGAGTGAGTGAGAGAGTAAGCAGGGGAGAGGCAGAGAGAGAGGACTAGAGAGAATCCCAAGCAGTCTCCACACCGTCAGCACGGAGCTCAATGCGGGGCTTGAAATCACAAATCTTGAGATCCTGACCTGAGCAGAAATCAAGAGTCTGATGCTTAACCGACCGAGCCACCCAGGTGCCCCTTTTTAATTTATTTTTTAGTTTTTATAAATCTTAACACTCTCCTAAATCCAGCTGCAAATGAAATTATATCCGAATATTTCTTGGAAGACAAAGCACATAAAGTTACAATCATCTCATGTATTGAATATACATCCTGGCCCTTCCCCGTCTCTGCGGCAGCCTCTCAGGCACCTCGCTGGAGGCTCCCAGGAGACACTGAAGACCGCAGGCACCTAGACCAGTCATCTGGCACTTAATTACGTATCACCTTGTCCTCGTCCAAGATGACCCCAGATCTCCTGGGATGTTTTTCCTCACAACCATTCTGACACCAGATGTGTGGGGGGTTTTCCACACCAACAACCAGTTCTCCAAGTCTGGACACCAACTCGGTGTCCTACAACGCAATTTAGTTCTGACACTGACTACCTGGAGGTAGTGTTCGACTGCACAGGCTAAAAGCTCAGTCCCATAAGACTGCCCTCATTTACATGCCAGTCGCCAAGTTCCAGGGTGCCACCTGTATGTCCACCCAACTGGCTGTAAATCAGGGATTCCCGGGAATTTGCTACAGAGAACACAGGGAAACCCTTTCCCTACATTGACCAGCTGACTATAAAGGAGACAACTCTGGAACAGCCAGACGGACGAGATTCATAGGACAAGATATGGCGGTGGGGGTGGGGGTCGGAGGTGCGGGGGGTGGGGCTTCCATGCCCGGTCTCAGGGCACCACCCTCCCAGTACCTTGATGTGTCCACCAACCCGGAAATCCTGTGAGCCATGCCATTTAGGGGTTTGTATTGAGGTTTCACTACATAGGATTAATCACTGAACTCAATCTCCAGCCCCTCTCTTCTCTCTGGATGTCCTGGGGATGGGGATGAGAGTTCCAACCCTCCAATCGTACAGTGGGTTCCGCTGGCCACCGGCCCCCATCCCATAGCTATCTAGGCATCTACCAAGAGCCCCTTATCAACATAAACTCAAATGTGTTGAAAGGGGCTTGTTATGAATAACAAAAACACTCCTATCACTCAGAATTTTCCAAGGGTTTTAGAAGCTCTGTGTCAGGAACCATTGATAAAGACCAAATATGCAGTTCTTATTGTATCACACTTCTCATAGTTTCGTATGTGTTATTTTATCATTGCTTTTTGTTTGTTTGATTCTTGCATGCTTGTGGTCTGAGCTCTCTCATGAATGTGGCAGGAGAAAATATCTTAAAGCTCTGAATAATGCAAAGAGTACATACAGAGTAGGCATACAATCAAAGTCAATATAGCTAGCAAGCTAACCAGAAAACTAACGGCAGGGACTCCTGTGCAGTGTATTTCCTGTGTTTTCCACAGTTTGTCAATTACTTGGAAGATGGAATACAATTGGCACATAGAAGACATAGCCCAGTGAGGTAACAGTGGAAGTTATTCCCTATTCAACGTGTTAAAGAGTCGAATAGGACCATTATCTGTTCTTCTATGGACGCCATATTTTTTTAAGTAAGCTCTGTGCATGAATTGAACTCAAACTCCGAGAACAAGAGTCACATGCTCTACTGACTGAGTCAGCCAGTCGCCTCTGGGCCCCATATTTAAGATGATTTTAGCCACTGGACTAAATGAAGTATACTAAGTAATGATTTTCCTGATTTTAGGCAATGTAGATGTTGATCACAGCTTCATAATAGGGGCAAAAATTAGTTCTTATGGACTGAGTGAAAATATCTTACTCTTAATCATAAAGCACAGATATTTAAAAACATGCAATATATCCATGGTATTAAAATTTCATGGGGGGTGACTAAGGAAAAATATGTGTCTAAAAAGACCCCTTGGGAGATGATGATAAGAAAATGGTAATGATGTTCTCCTATAAATGACTTTTTAAAAAAAGTTTATTTTTGTAAGTAAGTCTCTACCCCAACATAGGGCTTGAACTCATGACCCCAAGATCAAAAGCCATAGGCTCCTCCGACTGAGTCAGCCAGACACCCCAAATGACTTCTGATCAGAACTTCTGATCTGTGTGACCTTACCAATGTTGTCACATTCAGTTGGAATTTCAGTCAGAAGCAAATAAAAGCCGTATCTTACCTTGTGGATAAATGTAATTGTTCATTCAACAGTGAGCACTTTGCCAGGCAACGTTCTCGAGTACAAAACGCTCAGAATACAGAAGGATAAAAACTGAGTCCTGCCTCTATAGAGCTTACATTCTAGTTGGGAGAGAGAGACAGCAAACCAGCTAATAAAAATACTTACAATATATCAACTGATGATAAAGTATTAGAGGAAAAAGAAGGCCATATTGACAGCGAGAAAGGGTGTGCTGTTTCATACATGGTGACCAGTTAGAGAAGGTTCCCTCACCTTTGGTGAGGTGATATTTAAGTAGAATCCTGAAGGCTTTGAGGCAGAAACTTTTGGGATAACTGGAAGAAGAATGTTCCAGGTAGAGAGAACAGAGGTATAAAGAACCTGAGGTAGGAGTGGATCAGCATGTTGGAAGTATAATAGAGAGACTCAAGGAGCAGCAACAGGAATGAACAAAAGGAAGGAGCAGGTGATGGAATCAGAGTAGCAGAAAGAGGGAGTGGTCAGGGGACAACGTAACAACATCACAAAACTGGGTAAGATGGCAAGGTTTCGAGAAGTTTGAACAGAGGCATTTGTGATGTGATTTCCATCTTCAGAGGTTCCAGCCTCTGCCCTGTAGAGACTAGACCTTAGTTCAATGAGCTTAGAAGGAAAGAGACCGACTGAAAGGCTAGTCGTAGCCTTGCAATCGTCCAAGCAAGAAATGGTGAGGGCTAGGCGAGGGTATTCAGATTTGGGATATATTTCACAACACGCGTTTTTGAAAAATTCAAAACAGCTCAAGATCCCAACATGGAAAGACCTCATACTGGGAAATACAATATCATCTCAAAGTTCTAGGTCTTATTTAGGGGAAATTTTTGTATGTGTTTAAAAAAAAAAAAAAAGAATTCTTCCTGGTATGAATATTCTTTGGGTTGGCAAAAAGCAAATCAGCAAATCTCCTATTTTCTTTTATTGGAAAAGTTTGTTTGTAGCTGGACTGGATTTTTATTTGGGCAAGGAGTGGCTCTTATTAAAGACAAACTTTGTATGTTTTGTCTCACAGATGTCCTTTATTTCTGAAGCTGTCAACATTTCCATGATTGCAAGTGGTTTAGGTTGATGTAACCTGCTCTATTACGTAATGCTTGAAGTGTATTTGTATTTCCGGAGCTCAGAAAGTACATAATGAGCATTAATGAGTCTTCCCGTGCAATTTTTAGCTCCCTCCTGGCATTCATCTACTGTTACGCTGAGTGTGGTGAAGCTTTCTTCCAGATAAAAAATTCGACTTTGGCCCTGAAGTCTGTCTTTCTGATGCTATTAATCAATTTTGCAAGCTGCCTCACATTCTTTTTAGAGATAGGCTGTCATAAATAAGAAAAAATAGTCGTTGGCGAGTCCAGAAGTGGGGACGTGCAAGCTAGCATCCGTGCCAGGCAGCATGGCTGGGTGTGTTTATGCACATGGGAAGGACTGACGCTCCTCTCTAGTCATGTGGGCCACACTGCTTGCATATGGCCTTCTTCTCCGTCTAACAAAGGGTTGTAAACAGCATGTTATCCAAGGGGCTGCTATCAAAACAAATTCATTTCATGAAACTGGAGCTGTCGCTTCACTTTGGCAATGACTGGAGATCACTGGTTAAGATTTTTATGGTGCGTTTTCATAATGGGCCTGTATCCCTTACAAAGAGTAGGATTTACAGGAAAAACAATTCACAAAGCTTTTTAAACAGAGATGCAAATGGGCTTTCTCATTCGTGGAGTGCAAATAAATCATATGGCTGAGCAATATGTATGTTAACATATATTGAGAAAATATTTATACTTTCTATCAAAGGTATTGTTTACCCTGCGTATGTTCAGAATGTGTTTCTAAATATTTACAAAAGGAAAAATCATCTGGCTTATCTTACACCTCACATAAAGTGGGAAAAGAGAACTGGCAGCCCTGAGATTGGGAAAAGGTCGTAAAATATTTAATGACCTGAGGACCAAAAGGAAAGGACTCAGATCAAACCCACATTAAAAGCAGTGCAATGGGCAAGCCACCAAAAGATAGCTGAGTTTCTCTGATCCTGAATGGGAGTGCCGGGACTAGAGGTTTGGGGACCTAATTATTCAGGGAAAGAATGTACTGGAATGCTTGCTCCTGAAGAGAGAAGCCCATGAAAAGTCAGCAAGATAGTTGCCTCTAGCATGTCAAGAATTGACATGTTTATGATCTTTGGGTAAGCACATGAAGGAAAGGGAGGGATGAAGTAAGAGGGATAGTCCAAACTTCTGGCATAATCCCGCTATGGCCATTAGAAATGAAGACTTCGAGGGGCGCCTGGGTGGCTTAGTCGGTTAAGCGTCCGACTTTCACTTAGGTCATGATCTCGCGGTTCGTGGGTTCGAGCCCCGCGTCGGGCTCTGTGCTGACTGCCAGCTCAGAGCCTGGAGCCTGTTTCAGAGTCTGTTACTTCCTCTCTCTCTGACCCTCCCCTGCTCACGCTGTCTCTCTCCCTCTCCTAGAAATAAATAAAACATTTAAAAATAAAATAAAATAAAATCTTAAAAAAAATAAAAAAAAAAAAAGAAAAGAAATGAAGACTTCGAAAGCCACAAATCCTTAAACCTGAAGTCTACTCCACACCGACTCCAAGAGTAACAAATTGTGGGCGAGGGTTAAAATAAAATGGCCCTAGAATTGATGGCATGTAGCCATTTTATCCATGAATGATGTGTTTTAATTTGAAAGTAATCATCATAATGTGTCATATACAGTATAACTATATATATATATATATATATCACTTATATATCTGTATTAGTTACCTATGTCACATATAGGGTAACTGCATATAGTGATATATGTCTGTAATATATGTATGTATCTTTCACTATATATATTAGTTATAACTTAAGAATTTCACAAGATTATACTAATAAGTAATTAAACCACCTCACAGTTTATTAGATTGGGTCTCACAGTTAAAAAAAATACTTTCAAAAACTAAACAGGAAACAACCCCTTTTTAAAATAGCATGTGGGAGATAGAAAAAAATAATACAAATCCCAATAGCATGGGGGGGAGGGTGCAGGGAAGCAAGCACCAGTATTCCTATTTTACAGATCCTTGAGAGCTCAAGACTGTTTTGAAGATCTCCCACACTATTATTTCAAGAAGCTACTTTTGCTGTGCACAGACCAAGACCTGGACCCTATTTACAATATCTGAAAACTTTAACGTGAGTTCTAAGTTTGCATCTCTGGAGATCAAGTACAGTAAAAGCAGTTTTAAAGTCAGCAAGGCCCAGCATATGCTTGGAAATCTTCTTTTTAAGCCTTGCTCTTAAGTAAATCTGTAACTATTTGTAGTTGTTTATGTCTTTATATGGAAAAAGAATGTATTTTGCCAGAGAAGAAGAACAATCATGAACTGGATTTATGGCTAATTTCTCTCAATTATCTTCTTCCACCAGATCTCACTCCAAGGATTTCCAGTGAAATTATGTTCCATTTCTAGAGACAGTGACTAGAAGTGCAACCACTACATAGGAAACAGAAATTTCATTTTTAGATCACCTACTGGAACATTCTAAATGCTTTCTTTCTACCAAGAACTGGGTACTAAACTTCTTTCTGAGTAAGGAAGCCACTTGGAGCAGTTGGGGATGACAGTAATACTGTACATGCTGATTTCCAGATTTGGCAGCAACCTAGGAGAGTGCCTGTTTAGGGGGGTGCACACTAAAGCGTTTATAGTTAATGGACATCATGACTACAATGTACTCAAATGGCTCAGGGGAAAAAACAGCAGAGAGAGAGGGAGAGAGAATGAAAGATCAAATGTAAAATGCTAATGATGAGGTGACGAATGAGAAAGCTTTTTGTGTTGTTCTTGCAACTTCTCTGTAAGTTTGAAATTATTTCAAATAAAAAGTAAAACAAATACAAAAGACATAGTTTGAAGGGCCTGCAACTGGCCAAAGTTTAGACTAGTTCTTTGAAGTTCAAAAAAATTGTGACTTTAATAGTAACTCAGTGAATAAATAAGAATCCATGAGTCCACAATAATAGGAAGGGAGGGAGGGAGGAGGGAGGAAGGAGAGGAGAAAGGGAGGGAGGGGAGGAGGAAGAAAAAGAAGTGCTTAGGACACTAGAGCTTATTATTATGCAAATGTCCTACTCTGACATTTTTTAGTGAAAAAATAAATAACCCTTTACCACGCCTTTTTGAGAGGAATTGTAATTATCGTCAGTGGCTGAGTGATAGAAAGGTTTTTTTTTCAGAAGAATTCCAGCTCATATATATTGAAGAAATGATAGACCAAATACAACCATTTAACAACTGTACTGGGTCGCTCAGTTCTTGTCCCTGATGCACCAAAGGACTGAAGACCTGAGACCATAACGGGGAGATAGAGTTTGTTGAATAAATAAGTATAGTGCACTTTCAAAAGAGAAACCGGGCCACTGTTGGAGCGAGGGTGGCAATGGCCTCAAGAAGCTCTAGGTGTATCCTTTTAAGACTGCTTTTTGAATGTAAATTTGCCTTTGACATTTTTGATCGACAGCTGGTGGTTACACACACTGGCTTCTGCGCATGCGCCTACCCATGATGCATTCTGTTATAATTGTGTTTATTTGTGTATTGCATATTTATGAGTTTCTAACGGGCTTCGTTATGACTTGGAGTTACCTAAGGGCAAGTTGCACTTTCTGTGCACATGTTCAGCTCTTTGGAAGTCCCCTTGCGGCTTTTGCACCACAGCGGCTCTGTGGTTAGGCCTTTCCTGTTCTGTTAACCCTATGGGATGGCTCGGAGGGTGTGGCCAGCATCTACTTTATCCCTTCTCACTAACACCTGACTGCCTAACATTCCCCCCTCAAGTGACTGGACCCCTAATCATTGGGAATTGGGGCGATAACCACTCTGATTTCTTTGAAGTGTTAGGAGGCATTGGGCAGATTTAGGGAGTTCATCACTTGTTTGACTATCAAGGAGAGAAGGCAAGGGTGGCTGGCCATGTCCATCCAAGGCACTTACAAAAGAGAAAGAGTTGGGGCGCCTGGGTGGCTTAGTCGGTTAGCGACCGACTTTCGCTTAGGTCATGATCTCACGGTTCGTGGGTTCGAGCCCCGCGTCGGGCTCTGTGCTGACTGCCAGCTCAGAGCCTGGAGCCTGTTTCAGAGTCTGCATCTCCCTCTCTCTCTGACCCTCCCCTGCTCACGCTGTCTCTCTCCCTCTCTCTCTCCTAGAAATAAATAAAAAAATAAAAAAAAAAAAGAGAAAGAGTTGCAGGCATCTAAAGTTTGACATCCTTGATTGAGGACCAATTGGAGATTAATGGCCTGTAATCTGGAGGAGACAAAGGATACCAATATGTTGATTCATCTGGGTCCCGAGAGTAATATCAAGAGAACCTCCAAAAGGGGGGGGTTGTCATATGGAGGAGGAGGGATTCCACCGGGGGGACTGTGTGTGTTTTCTATTTATTTATTTATTTATTTACTTACTTATTTATTTACTTTTTAATGTTTTATTTATTTCTGAGAAAGAGAGAGAGAGACAGCATGAGCAGGGGGTGGGGGTGGGGGGAGGGGTGTGAGGGTCAGAAAGAGAGGGAGACACAGATTCTGAAGCAGGCTTCAGGCTCTGAACTGTCAGCACAGAGCCGGACGCGGGGCTGGAACCCATGAACTGTGAGATCATGACCTGAGCCGAAGTTGGACGCTTAACCGACTGAGCCACCCCGGCGCCCCGATTGTGTGTGTTTTCAAGTTTGGTGGCCCCGGTTACAAGTTCCTGTCTGTCTTGTTGGACTTGTAGGGATTTATTGACATACAAGCAGCATCCCTCTTGCAAGAATGGACAGGTTCCTCCTTGTGCCGCTGTTAGCAGATCCAGGGCAGGTCTGTTTCAGAGGGCAAGTGTGCAAGAAAGCCATCTTTCCAGACCTTGATTAGCACCTGGTCACCAGGTTCATATAGAGGAGGTGCCTTTTGTTTGATGGTGGAAACTGTTAGGCCGTATTCCTTTAAAGCCTGTTGGAATTTGGATAGAGAGATAACATGAGTTTGTATCCCCAGAGTCTCTGGATCTACCAAGAAGTCTGTAGGTAGGAAAAGTCATCCATAGAGGGCCATGAAAGGACTCAAGCCCTCTGCTTGCACTCTCTCTCTCTCTCAAAATAAACAATAGAACTTAAAAACAAAAAAAGATAACCATCTGACTTTGGCTCAGGTCATGATCTTGCTGTCTGTGAGTTCAAGCCCCGAATCAGGCTCTGTGCTGATAGCTCCAAGCCTGGAGCCTGCTTTGGATTCTGTGTCTCCCTCTCTCTTTCTCAAAAATGAATAAACATTCAAAAAAAATTTTTTAACAATAACTATGGGCAGTAGCCCCAGTGTTGCTTCGGATCTGAAAAGGTATTGTTTTTTTTGTTTTGTTTTGTTTTTTATGAGGGTAGTAATGGGGGTCCTTAAGTTGAATTATAATGGGCGTGGTTGATATTGCGCTTCTAGTACGATTCCATGATCCCAGACATCAGGGTTGACTAAGGGAATCCCAGTCTTTTCGCATCTGTGTTGGAATTGGTGAAGGCGATGTTAACAGAGCCCCCAGCATGTTCCACAGGTGGGTTTCAGGATGAGGCCCAAAGATGACTTCGGCTCTCCATTTTTGTAGGAAGTCTCTGCCTGATAATGGGCTGAGACGTTCAGGCGTAAATAGAAAACTGTGGGTAAAGGCTTGTCCCTCCCAAACACAGAACAGGGGCCAGACCCTCCCACGATGGTGCAGGTTTTAGAAGAGGAGGGTCCCGATGGAATAGGCGGCCCCAGCATCAAGTAGGAAAACAGCTGGCCTACTTGTCACATCCATTTGCACTCTTGATTCCAGTCGAGTCATGTGGACCTTGAAGGCGGGGCTGACTGGAGGGGCCTCCTCACTCTTGGGTGATCATCTGGGATGCTGCTGTTGGCCCTGCCTCCCTCACGTCAAGGGACAGAGAGCAGCCCAGTGCCCCTGTTGCCCACATTTTTAACAGGAAGTGCCCAGTGCTCTGTTGTCAGCAAGTATGATATTTATTTTTGCCTTTTTCCTTATTTGCTGGGGTGCCTTTGGAGATGGGGATGCCTCAGCAGGAGCTGAAGGAGACATAGGAGATCGGTGAGATCGCCCCAATTGGAGGCTGGCAATAGCATAACCTTACAGTTCTTCAGTAGGTCCTTACTCTCCCTTAGGAGAAAGAATGCCTGAACATAAAGGATTTCTGTTCATTTGCCTAGTCTTTTGCAGTATAGGTCTAATCCAAAAATAGTGTTGGAACTTAGTGTTCCATTAAGGGGCCACATTTCCCCATTGGGGAGATGGCATTGTGGCCACACTGTGTTGTACTAGAACACTAATTTTCTTTTCCAAAGAGGTATGGGGTCAAACCGTGGCCAGTTTTTTTTTTTTTATATGTTTTTTATTTATTTCTAGGAGAGAGAGAGACAGCATGAGCAGGGGAGGGTCAGAGAGAGAGGGAGTTACAGACTGAAACAGGCTCCAGGCTCTGCGCTGGCAGTCAGCACAGAGCCCGACGCGGGGCTCAAACCCACGAACTGCGAGATCATGACCTAAGCGAAAGTCGGACGCTTAACCGACTAAGCCACTCAGGTGCCCCCGTGGCCAGTTTTTTTAAGATGCACCTTAGAGGCACTCCCTCTCGGATGGACTGTTGATGTCCCATCTTGAAAACAGCATGGAATCAGAGAGCCCAGCATTCCGAGGGTCATAATTCATGATCCAGCTTATGGGCTGACATCAAAAGGGGAGTTGGGGGGGGGGAGTCTTCTACTGGTACCCAACAAATGGACCAACAGAGGCTGGCAGCCATTTGGCACAGGTTGGAATCCTTTTCTAGGGAAATCCGGTGGAAAACTTACTGAGATGGATCAGCAAGGATGGTGATTCAGCCTATGAGTGACCAGAAGGAGGGTAGAGTTCTGGGAGCAAGGGATCTGCTCAACCAGGGAAGAGGTAGTGAGGACAGACAGAGAATTAGCTGAAGGGCCGGCCTGCAGGCCAAGATGTATAAGAAATGAGATCCTTTTACCTAGCAATCCAAGCCACAGCGCTACAACTACCAATGAAATAATCAATTATGCAAGGATCGTTAATGCATACTGGAAAAAATGTGTGTGTGTGTGTGTGTGTGTGTGTTTGTGTGTGTGTGTGTGTAAATATGTAAATAGAAAGATAAAGACAATAAAATGTTAATGACACTGATATTAAATCTATGACATGGGTGCACAGAGAGTCTCTGTATTATTTTCAACTTCTTTGTATGCTTGAAAAACATGCAAATATACGAAAGCTTCAGTACCAGTGCCACTTGATGTTTGCCTAGAGTTATAGAAACTCAGTCCTAGAGAAGATCGTCTATCCCAACAAGTCATTAAAAGATACATTTATTACTTTGCTTACATTCTCAACCACAAAATGCTCATAATGGAGGAGATTTTCTGTTGGCTGCTGAATTTAACAAAAGAGTAATTCCTGGGGCACCTGGCTGGCTCAGTCAGTGGAGCATGTGACTCTTGGTCTTGGGTTGTGAGTTCAAGCCCCACGTTGAGTATAGAGATTACTTAAAAAAGAAAAAAAAAGAGCAACTCCCGAAAGCTGCACAATGACTTGCTTTGCAGGTAGGCAAATGAGTTCAGAAAATAAGGAAAAGTGGCAGGGGGTCCTGCCCTTGACTTCCCCAGGTGATGGGTACTACTTGGCCCAAAGTAGAGGATGGTGCTGATTGATATTCTGAAACCAGCAATGAAATACCCAGCTTTACTTACTACTTAAGGCCTTGAAAGTTGCCATTATTCTCATATTAAGGGATAATTAAATTCCTCCTTAGTCTCTATGCTTACTGATACACACCTGTCTCGAGAAAAGTCTGCAGAAATAGTTAATGTTAGATTGTGTCTTGTATCCATGGATAGTCTCTCTGCCTCCTCGGCTACAAAATGTCTCCACGGTGGCATGAACCACAGAGACGCCTCATTGATTCTCATGGAACGTTAGTGCTGTCCTCAAA